TTGTTGGAATAGTGCTACAGTGGTATACTCAATCTCTGAAATGTGTGTTTATTCAATATTCAAATTCTTCCTATTTAATATACTAATAGTCTTTTAAATAGGAGTGGAATAATTTATGCTTGGATAAATTTGATGACAGAGGTTAAGTGAGGTTAAATGGCTTGCTGAAAGTAATTTTATTACATTCGTAACTAAGACTAACCATACATCTACTCACTTTCGGTTAAATTCTTCTTTTTCTTGCTACTTTCCCTGAATCACCATGATATCTGTCATTACTGAGTTCAAAGGAGATTAACATAAAATAAATGTATTGTATCCCATTCTTTCATTTCTACTCTGCTCTAATGATATTCAAACATAAATAGCTTTTAGCTGACAATTTCTCACCAAAAGGGTCACATGAATGAACTTCAATTGATAATGTAACTCTTGTAACTCAAGGAGTTGGAATTAAGTTAAATAAGTAATGTTTTTCTTCATCATCTTCATACAAATTAATTGAAACATGCTCATTAAAATTTCATCTATTTCTAGAAGTTTTCTGATACATTATGTAGATTTACCTAGATTTTAATATGGGATGATGCTTTTTTTCTTAATGGTGACTTTAATAGCTAGCATCTATTCTGCCTTTTGCCCACATTAATTCATTATTCCTTCTTTACAAAAGCAGTGTGAGGTCATCTTATTAATAATCAAGATGTTCATTTACATATTCAACCCAACTTTAAAGAAATATATGCTATATATGTATTATTTTTCTAAAACCTCTTACAGTTTATAGGGTTATGAAATAAAGACAAAAATATTAGTGTCCTTATTTCAAAACATTTTTTCTTATACTTTTGAAGTAACCTTTTTCTTTTGCAGTGGGCTCTGGCCAACCTGTTAGCAATTCCATGCCAGGAGCAGTAACATGTAGAAAGAAGTTTGAGAAATTATACTCAGAGATACGTAATCCTTCCACAATATTTGAAAAGGCACAAAATCATGCAGGTAAAATAAACACAGGTAAAATAAAACAAGTATAATTCTATCTTGCACATTTAATTATTAACTGTTAAATGCAATGAAGAAAATATTCTAAATATGTTCTTTGTCCTAGTCCCTATGTATTTAGCTCTTGTCTTTCATCTTCCAGTTTTATGAATGCGGATTTTATGTTCAAAATGAGAAAGAAGTTTTATTTTAAAGTCATAGAGTCTCATTTTTTATGAAACACTGTCTAGACAAATGTCCTTCCTATTTCTGAGGAAATATTCTCCAATCATTGCTCTCAGCATTATTTTTTGTTTGTTTGTTTGTTTGTTTGATTTTTAATGTTGCTAGTGCCATTATGCTTAGGATTCAGACTGCTGTCTCCGTTTTCCTCGTAATTTCTTTTGTCAATCACCACAGTCCATTGTCTATAATCCTGATATTTTTGGAAACATAAAAATATGTCTTATATAATAAAAGGCCAGCCACCATAAGCATAACGATCAGAACAACCAGAGACCCTTCGCCGGGCTGGCCCCACCCCCAGCAAAGAAAGAGAGAGGCCCAGGCTACTGGCAGTGACTCTGTGGCAGGTGTGCAGCCAGCCAGAGGTCGCCCCGCAGAGGGAGGCCCAGGCCAGCCAGCCATCGTACCCTACAACAGAGGGAGGCCACCAGTGGCAGAGGAGGGGGGGGGGGATCAGCGCTGCACAGAAGGCAAACAGTGGCAGTGGCAGGGGTGTGGCCAGCTGTCTGCAGCCAGGGGAAGGAAAGCCCCAATAGACCTTGATATCAGGCCAGGCCTAGGGACCCTACACAAGGGGTCCTGGATTGTGAGAAGGTGCAGGCCAGGCGGCAAACAGTGGCAGTGGCAGGGGTGGGGCCAGCTGTCTGCAGCCAGGGGAAGGAAAGCCCCAATAGACCTTGATATCAGGCCAGGCCTAGGGACCCTACACAAGGGGTCCTGGATTGTGAGAAGGTGCAGGCCAGGCTGAGGGATCCCCCAGAGTGCATGAATTTTTGTGCACTGGGCCTCTAGTTCTAAATAATAAAAGCCCAGCAACTGAATGGCAGAACGGCTAGAACAACTGGTCAACCAGTTGCTATGATGCTCACGAACCACCAGAAGGAAGATGCTCAATGCATAAGCTTCCCCCTGGTGGTCAGTGCACTACCACAGTGGGAGCGCCGCTTGGCTGACTGGGATGAACAGCTGCTTCACTGTGAACCCCGGGCCATGGGTGGGCTGCAATTGTTGCCTCCTCAACCCAGACTCCTCCTCCTGGCTCCTTGCCGCCTCCTCTGGATGCCCACAGGCCGTGCAGTGCCACTTCCGGGTTCACAGAGCTGACCATGGAGGTTGGGAGGTGGGTTTGTGGCCGCAGCAGGACTGAGGCTTACTCTGCCACCTCTCAGTGCTATTGTCCCGGGGGGCAAGTGCTCCGGTTCCATGGAAGATGCCGGACCAGGGAGCAGCTGCTCAGAAGGCGGGTAAACAGCCGCTCGGCTGACTGTGATGAGCAGCACTCCAACAGTGAGCCATCCCCACAGGCCACACCCCCCCACCAGTGCACGAATCCCGTGCGCCAGGATTCTAGTTGTTATATACAAAAAATAATTAAAGTATCCTTATTAATTCCAAAGATGGTGTAATTAAGATAACTTGAAGAGGCAATTGAGCAACAAAAGTCTAGACTGGGTGTTGGGGAATGATTTAAAAAGGAACTCTTCTCTGTTTTAGTCTTTATCTCAATCATGATTTGACATGCCATTTAGCAAAATGTCTTCTTAAGTTAGCATCTTATAAACTCCTTGTGAGTGATATAAGTAAATTTCTGTGGGAGGGTAAAGAAAGAGTTACTTTGTGATAGTGTTAAGAAAAAGACTGAGTGATGAGGCTTTGGTCAAGTTACATAGGGACCACATGTTTTCTTTAGTTTTGCTTTGCTTTGTTTTGCCACTATATCAATGCTAAAATGTGGTTATGACAGTGCTTGCTGTACAGTAGGTACTCAATAATGATTTATTTAATGAATCAATGAGTGAATGAATAGATAGATGCGTGGATGGGGGGAAAGAGGAAAACTAAAGAAAGAGTCTTGAGGATTGCACACATTTAGAGATCAAAAAGAATAAAAAAGATGAAGACAAAGATATTACATAGATATTTGATACATATTAATACATTAAGCTTTGAATTTATATTTTGTGGTTTTTATTATAATACAAGAAAATATTTTTAGAAAGAAAAGAATGCAAGAGTTTGGGCAAAATTGTTCTTTTCTCAGAATGCTCTGTGTAATATGTTGCTCTGTGTTTAGGCCTATGCTGAGGTTGTTTGGATTATGAGACATACCTTCCTCATCTGAGAGTAAATATTGGGTTTATACTATTTTTATTTTTAGTTACAAATAATGTGCAATTGCCAGCCAAACTGGGCCATTTAGAGTGCTAGCTCCAAAACTGATCTGCAAATCCAGCATATTATTAAAGAACTAGAGGCCCGGTGCATAAATTCATACATGGATGGGGTCTGGCCAGACTGCCCCTATCAGAGCCAATCAGGCCAAGCCAGCCAGGGGGAAGGGCTTTGGGCTGTTGGCTGGCCAGCCCCAACCCTGATTGGGATGGGGTGGGGGTTATTAGGGGCAGGGCCAGTCAGCAGGAGGGGCCGCAACAGTTGGCCAGCCAGCCCCACCCCCAAGTCGAACTCCCAGTCAAGGGGACAATTTGCATATTAGCCTTTCATTATATAGGCTAGGATACTGAGGGATAGTGTTGTCTCAAAATCTTCCTTGCCTAAAATGCTTGCTGCAAAATGTATCAGTAATATTACTCCTTTATTTTAAGTGATATGTATATAAAAACCCTCTGTAAAAATATTGTACTAAAATATTTTTAGTAAAGGGGTTGATTAATTACAGAGTTAAATAAATTTAATTTCAAAATAAAATGAAAAGGTATGTGGGATGAAAGCATGCTGATAGGCATCATGGACAATGGCTCATCCACTCTGGCTCACTTTTAAACTATGTCTAGTAGGGCCTGATTATATTGGTCCTGGATGGCAGATATATACTTTCTAAGACAAGATATTTCATGATTACAATAAAAGCTTTACATGTTAAAAAGTCATTTATTATATTGAACCAAAACCTGGCTCTCCATTGATCTGCATCAATTTTTTCTAGTTTTGTTCTGTGGGAATACAGGAAATGAAAAATAAAAAACAAAACAAAAACCACTTCTTACATTTCAGAACTTCCATTGGGGACAAAAACACCTCGTTTCTAAATCTCTGAGTCATTCCTTATGATTGTTGACCTCACAAAACCAAAGGAATTATGATGCAAAGTGAGACAGAGAAAAAAACATTTTTAAAGTTTTTGTTGTTTTGGAAACGTAAGTGTGAGAGAGGGAAAAAGCCAGGGAGGGTGGAGTAGCACAGACAAATTAAGAGCCTCTCAGAAATGTTCATCCCTTCTGTTAATTTCCCATTTGTTATGCTAATTTCCCAAAATATCTGTTTTTTGTTTTTGTTTTTTTTAAATATATTTTATTGATTTTTACATAGAGGAAGGGAGAGGGATAGAGAGTTAGAAACATTGATCAGCTGCCTCCTGCACACCCCCTACTGGGGATGTACCTGCAACCAAGGTACATGCCCTAGACTGGAATCGAACTCGGGACCCTTCAGTCCGCAGGCCAATGCTTTATCCACTGAGCCAAATTGGTCAGGGCCAAAATATCTGTTTTTAAGCAGAACTCCTCAGGTGAGGGTGGGGTGCAGATCCAAGAAGACTGTAGATATGTGAATGAAGTAATGCAGTAGTTTTCAGTATTTTAGAGCGACTGACGTCAGGATACAATGAACAATGAAACCTTATGGAGGAGGAAAGGGCGAAGTTTATGAATAAAAAAGAAGAAAATGGCGCTTGGCCTCTTCATTATTCAATGGTCCCAGGGGATGATCAAGACAGACAGAGGGGGGCATTAATAAATTGCCAGCTCTCCAGGTATCTCTTATTGGTTCACTACCTAATCAACTGAAATGTGTAAGGGTGAGACATTTAGCTTAGGAATTAGATGCTGGTTGGTTTCCTTGATTTGCTTTGGTATAGATAGGGACAGAAATATTTTAAAAAAAGAAAAAGTAAAAAAAAAAATTCTTTCCTCTGTGGTCTCTATTTATTTGTGTGACTTCTATGAAATCTTGGCATTTTTTAACTTGGATTATTAATTCCATCTGTTCTTGCTTTCTTTCAGCTTCAAGTAAAGAGGACCATTTTGTTTTTAATCGTTCAGAGATATGTGTAAAGCTAAGTGGCCAATGTAAAAAGAAGTGTGGTGAAAAAGAATTTAGGATGGTATATTGTGTAATACCTACAGTTTTCTGCTGCATAAGAGAATGTGAACCTGGGGAGTACTACTAACTGGAGAGCCTCATTCACAAAAAAGAAGACCAACATCAACTGTCTTCTCAATCCTTCATTCCTTCCCTTACTTCATTTGTGGCCTAGTGTTTCTGTCCATACATGTCTCTGATGAATAAAGAATTAAATAAAACATATTTCAGCCTGAATCACTATGAGCACTGTGCTTCTTTGGAAGAAAGAGTCAGAATACAGAGTGGAGCTTTGAATTCAGGAATAAATATAGAGTGAAGAACAGTCCGTGTTGGAACTACCATGTTAAATGTGATTCTGGGGCAAATACTATGCTTAGTATGCTGCTATAACGGTCTGTGTGCAGGGTCTGAGGGTGGACATAAGTTTTCAACTCCTGTGGGTAAATACCAAGAATCATTATTGCTGAATTGTATGATAACGTTATGCTTAGTTTTATAAGAAACTACCAAACTCTCTTAAAAGAGGCCATACCATTTTGCATTCCCACCAGCAGTGAATGAGAGCTCCTGTTGATCCCTATCCTCTTCATCATTTAGTTTGTCAGTGTTCAGTTTTTGGCCCTTCTAATAAGTGTGCGATGGAATCTCGTTTTCATTTGCATGCCATATAATTTAGAACATATTTTTGTATGCTCATTTTTCCCATCTGCATATCTTCTTACATAAAACTGTGTATTGATTACTTATTTTACTTATAATCATTTTTTTCCTTTTTTAAATACAAACCATATTTTTTAGGCCCCATTGATTTCTGTTTTCTCGGTGAATCCAGCCAATTGAAGGTACCACAGGAAGAGTGCATGGTGGATGAGAAAAACCTCAATATTTTTACTTCTTCCTCTCTGTTTGAAGGTAGTGTTTCCTGGCACTGTTGGCTAATTCTATTTTTGGTTACAACTCCCATCATGGTCTCATCTCTCTTCATCTTTGTAACCTCCATCATAGTTCTAGATCCCACTGTATAACCAACTATAGCTTTTAGATTCTGGAACTACAACTTCTGTCTTTGTCTCCAGCTCCAGGCACAGTAGCAGGCAGCAGACACCTGCTATTGTTAATTTTTTAATTACATTGCCATTCTGTTTGGCTTCTCAACTTCTCTCTTACCAGTTTAGCAAAATTATGTGTTTTAAAATTCTAGTTGGATTATTTAGGTTTGTTCCTTTGATTATAAATAAATTACACTAAAAACAACTTTAAAAGGAAAGAAAAAATTAAAATAGATGATAAACTGAATAAATACAATTACATTTAAAAGCTCTCTAGAGTTTAATACATATACACAGACATACCTATATTCCCACACACACAAGATATTTTTCTTAGTGTTTATATTTCATGGAAACTTACATATAGAAAGTTCTTCCCTCAAATTAGAAATGATTTTTTCTAAAGAAAATAAATTAAACATGTGCCATGTACTTTCCTCACAGTATCCTCTTTCTACAAATGAGGAATCTTGGGGATTGAGGAGTTAAAGAACCCAGACTCCCAAAATAAGTCAAGGATATTCAAATTCAAATTCATAGCTTAATATGCTCTCATTATGCCAGAAGCCGGTCCATCCTTGCTGCTTGACACAGTCGCTGCAGGAAAGAAACATCTGCACAGCATATGTTTCAAGGGACCTGGCATATATAGCATATTGTTCTTAATATGTTTGCTCTCCTTAAGCGCCATGTGTTTTAACCAAGGTCACCTCTCCGAGAAAGGTTGTTTCCCCAGGTAGGGATTTTTCCCTGAGGTTAGGGAGGGGATACAACCCCTTAACTAAGTGCCAGGCGGGTAGTTAATCACTTTAACTACAAACAATCACGCTTAAGCTACATAATCTTTACTCCCTGGAATGGAGATAAGAAACGCCCTAACCTTTGCAATAGAAATTGACAGGATTAAAATCGGCTGGTATAAATATAGATGTAACAAGACAATAAACATCAGATCCTAACCAGAACTTTGGCTGGAGATCCTGGCTAGAGGTCCTGACTAGGCTGCTGATCAACTGAAGGCTGTCTCCGTGTCATTCCTTCTTCGCCAACTCCGTCCACACCTTTGGGGACCCCTGGACCTGCTGGGGTTGGACCCCAGCATCATTACATCCTGCTATCTTATGGAATGTAAGAGCTGAAGTGAACCTCAAGTTTTAAGATCCAGAGCAGTCAGAGACAAAGCTGTGTTTACTGACATATTTATTTAAGCATGTGTAATGCATCCTTGGTTTATTACAAGTTGCTTAGTCCTTGAAATCAGGCAAATGAATCTTGAAAGATCTTTGCATTACAAAGATCTATCATAATGACCATAACTCCAGGAAAACAGTTCACTGAACAGATAATTTTAAATATGTAATGTTTCTTCATCTATAAATAATTATTCAAATGTGAGCATATGTAGCTTTTATATTCAGGTCACTATACTATGGATTATCAATTGAAGGATTGGAGATAAATATCAGCCCTGGTTTAGTAATCCCATGATGCCTTAGGAATGCTTCCTTTTCTTACAATTCTTCAATGTCCCCAAGTGTTGTACTAACACTCCCAGAATTCTCCCTGTAAGTTTTCACATTAATTTGGACTGAAGGGGACATCTGTAATACTTTCAACAATAAAAATAAATTTTAAAAAAGACACTATGTTCAGAGAATCCAGCTTTCAGGAATATGCAATATTGGATACTGGTGACTATGTCTCAGATTTCCAATTTTCAAATGGTGGTTCTGCCATTTATTAGCAAGGTGACCCTAAGCTATTTGGTTATATTTTAAACCCTTAGTTTTCTCTTTTATAAAATGGAAACAATTATAGTACACATTTATAAGAATTAAGTCTTAGAAAAGCATAATATACATATCATTATTGGTGGTGGTGATTGTAGTGGTAATATTAGTAAAAGCTGGTCTGGATTTAAAGTCACAAATACATATGATACTTTCAGTTTGGTTGAATGGCAGAATAATGTTTAATTACTTAAATTAAATTAACAAAATAGCAAATACTAAATAACAGGCAATTTATAATCCTTGGAGATAATATTTTTAATAGTATGAGTCAAGGTGGGATAAATATGGAAAAAGATATGTGGTAATGTTTATACCCTTCTCCTTCTACACATGACTTTCACCTTTAACAATCTAAGTAATGAATAGATAAGACAAAATTAACATTTTTACTCTATATTGCAATTAAAAGGGAGCATTAACATGAACAGACACACACACACACACACACACACACACACACACACACCCCTACACAGTGGAAAAGTGCCAACTCTCCATATATGGATGGTCAGAGACTAAATTAACGTCTTATGTTTGTCACATTTTCTTAACTTATTTATTTAACAAACTAGAGGCCCGGTGAACAAAATTTGTGCATGGCCTCAACCCAGCCTGCACCCTGTCCATTCCAGGACCCTTTCGGGGGATGTCCAACAGCCAGTTTAGACCCGACATCCCTCTCACAATCTGGGACCACTGGCTCCTAACCACTCACCTGCCTGATCGCCCCTAACCACTTCTGCCTGCCTGCATGGTTGCTCCTAACTGCCCTCCCCTGCCAGCCTGGTCGTCCATAACTGCTCTCCCCTACTGGCCTAGTTGCCCCTAACCGCCTCTGCCTCAGCCTCTGCCACCGTGGCTTTGTCCGGAAGGATGTCTGGAAGATGTCCAGTCTAATTAGCATATTACCCTTTTATTAGTATAGATAATGAGGAAATAATTGAGTCTTATGCAATATTCTTTTGCTTTGCTAGAGTGGTGAGACAACCATCAGTCTCTAACTTTGGGAAGCTCATATTTCAGGCAGAAAGCAAACATAAAAATTATAGATAGGCTGTAAATAGTATTATTATATATGGTAATAATGAAAAATTAAAGTAAGCCAATAGTTCGAAGATTTTTTTTTTTTTTTTTTTTTTGCTAAGTGGGTAGACAAACCAAGCTACAGTAATGATTTTTGCACTTCAGGTTGATGTGATAATGCAAATTCATACTATTATATTACACAGAATTTTCTATAACTCTTTGACATACCACTTGTGTTAAATCTTTTGCTTATGAGATTACTAACTGCAAGACTGTAGAGAAAAAGTCAATCTTTTGAAAAATTGCTCTCTTTGGAGTCTGTGCTTATATTTATAAAGCTACTTATCTTCTTTTTTTTTGCAGAAATGTCTTTAATAGAGATTTCTCAGTTTACTTAAACCTTTAAGTTTTTATATCATAATTGCTGTTGCTGTTCATTTTCTATTACTAATTTATTTTAAAAAATCTGTGCCCATTTATTTAGATTTGAAATATCCTTAGAAGGGTAAACTTTTAAGTAAAGACTTCTCTCCATTAAACAAGAATATTTATTTTTAAAATTTATTTTAATAGACTTGCTTTTCAGAACAGTTTTAATTTCAAGGCAAAATTGAGAGGAAGTTACAGAGGTTTCTTCTCTACCCTTGCCCCCACACAAGCATAGCCTCCCCCATTGTCAACTTCCCCCACCAGAGTGGTACATTTGTTACTACTGATGAATCTACATTGACACATCATTACCACCCAAAATTTATAGTTTACATTATGGTTCACTCTTGGGGTTGTACATTCTGTGGGTTTTGACAAATTTGTAATGACATGTATCCACCATTATAGTATCATACAGAGTAGCTACACTGCATTAAAAATCCATGTTATGCTTATTTATCCCTCCCTCCCCCATGGCAACCACTGATATTTTTAGTTTTAATTATTTTGCCTTTTCCAAAATGTCACATAGTTGGAATATACAATTTATATAGCCTTTTCAGACTGGCTTCTTTTACTTAGTAATATGCATTTAAGCTTCATCCATACCTCTTCATGTTAAGGAGAATAAAACATTCTGGGAGTTTTTCAAAGGGGCTTTTTCCTCCTCTCCCTGCTGGGGAGAGGGGATTTTTCTCCACTCTTCACCCTGATAACCTGGTGGGCTCTTGAAGATAAAAATGCACAAAAGGCCCTAGCTGATTTGGCTCAGTGGATGAAGTGTCAGA